TAGAAATATCTTTTAAAAACAATTTTTAATATTTTTTGGGAGGGGGTGTGGGTAGGGTGGAGGGTGGGGTAAAAAAATTGAATTTAAAAATAAGCTTTAAAATTATTATTTTTTTGGAGGGGGGGTGGTGGTGGTTGGGGGGCTGATTTGAGGGTAGGGACAAAATAAATTGAATTTTTCAACAAAAAAATAATTGTAATTTGAAGTTGAAAGAGAGTTTTGGAATCTATATCATGGTACATATCGTGTGTTAATAGAAGCTATGATCATTTTCTACACAACTTAAAATTTATCGAAATTTACAAATATTAATGTGAACTAACGATAAAGATAAGTGTTTTTTATATTCCTAAGCCTCAATTGGTATTATTTGATCGTAATTAAAGGTTTTGTGGGAGTATTGCTAATTCATGTTGCTTTGTTATAACAAGGACACACAAATTGAATACAAGACCTGAAAATAGAGGGAAAATGATATAAATATATGATGAAGTGTTGCGCTTCAGCACAACATAAGACTCCAAGGTGGAGTAACCAGCGCACAACAAAGGCAAGAGTGCTACAAAACTGCATTGTCAATTACATCGTGGAGTTTCAAGAATATTATGATACATTCAAACTTACACCTTAAAACAATGTGATGCAACAAACATAGCTAAATCCCAATGGAAATAAACTAGAAAGATACATATTAGATGATTACGTGATTGATAGTCTAATTTTTATTCCGTGACGGTAGAAAAGATTGTCATGATATTATGACTAGAATTCAAGTAACAAACTTGCAGTCCCTACAGTCCTACACCATCATTCAACATTATTCGAAGAGTTAAACAATTTATCTCAATATAATTTTTATTTGAAATATTTTGAAAATCTATATTATAATTCACTTTAAAAATTGAATATAATTCGTATAAGTGACAAGAAAATAAATAAATGAAATTGAAGAAGCAACACAATATTTTTAAAAAAAACCAAAACATTCCACCACATATTCTAATTGGAATTTTTGTGTCCAAAAAGAGAATATGCTCATCTTTGAGAAAATATTACCACCATGCATGCTAAATAAAGTTCCACTAACCATTAAAATCACGCCACGTGTCAATTATCAACAAAATAATTGATTGGCGTGTTACCCGATCATAGATCGGACTTTGACCCACCCACCCCACCCTATTAGCCACCCACTACTGACTATTTATACGGCTAATCCCATTCTCCTGAAAAGAAATTCCGCCACTTCTTCCCGGTAATGCATCTTCTTTTTCCTCTTTACATCTGCTTTTTGTGATTTCTGCTTAGGTTTGTAAATTTTTTTTATAAGCAATCGTCGTTATCTGTTTAGCAAATTGAATGATTATTTGTTTTTTCTGTCAAGACAGATCTAGATTTGGAAAAAAAATTCACTTTCTTCGTGAAATTATGTGTTCGTACATACATTTTCCGTCAAAATTCTTCTTATTTTTATGTGTTTGGTTCAGATCTCGTACTTTTCATCAAGTTCTCTTTGTTTTGTTTTTGATGTTGTTTAGATCAGTGAAAGAGATAATTCCGTTGATTTTATATGCATAAGGTTGAAATTTGATAGTTTTGGTACAATGTAGTGTTTGAATAGTTGGAACTGGTGTTGAATTAAGTGAATTTAATGGATCTGAATAAGGAGATAACTAACTAGTGTGAGACATTCTAAACAATGTTCTAATTTTGTTTGTCCGTCTTGTGGATTGAAAAAAGAAATGCTGAAGAAAGATCAGCCTAAATTTTGAATAGGACTAGATAAGTTGTTAAATGAAAGGAAAGTAATTTAATAAATGATTGGTTGTGTTGACTCGATGTGCTATTGAGTGGATTTTCCTAATATGTGGAAACAGTGCTGTTGAGTTTATTTATTGTCAATTGTAACTTGCCTTTTAGGACTAGAGAAACTATTAATGTTTTGTAGTAGGTGAAATGTTAAATCCTGATTTTGGGTGTATATATAAGCTAGATGTTGTATAATCACGCAAAAAACTTGAGAGAAATTTTGTACAATGATGCTGGAGATTAAAATGTACACTGGATAGTGCAGCATATTTTGTCTGCTGATTTTGTTTTTGCGTGAGAATGTCAGGGAATTGCACGGGATAATGAAGCATATTTCATCTGTTGATTATGTTTTTGTGTGGTAATTCTATAGAAGTAGACTGCACAGTGCATTTTCTAATAAGGATCTCAATTATATTACTCTGTGTATGTGTATGGATAAATCTACCAAGTTTCTTTTCTTTGTTCTCTTGAATGATGCGATGAATTCATTCAAAGTACTTTCTTCTTTATAATTGAACAATTTTGAACTTAATGGCTGATATTACCACTCTTCCTAACTCATGGACCAACAATTTGGAATACTGGTATTTGACCATTAATTTGTTTTGAACTGATAAGTTCTTCTAGAGTGCTAGTCTTATTTGTGCGAAGTACTTGGTAGTAATTTGAATGTCTGTACACTGCGTTGAATACTATGTTAGTATGCATCCTTTGCGGGTTTCCTTCCAGTAATTTCTGTTTTCTGAAGTATTAACAGGACTTACATTCAACTTTACTACATCTTCCTAACTTGCTGCTCATTCTCTGTTTCGACGTGTATGACAGAGTTGACTTCAGAATCTTCATGAATACTAGAACTACTGTGGTATCTGCAGTTTCCTGTAAATCGGGAAACAAGAACGGCTTCTTCTGCTGGATTTTGTTGTGCTTGCTTTCAAAGTTCTTTAAGACTGCTACGCTGAACGTGCACTCATTTGAAGCATTTGGAAAGGCTTGCCTACCATAGTGTTAATATTTGGCCATCTACATCTGTCAAAGAGCTGCTGGAAACATGGTTTCTTCTCAGCTCTTTGCTCCGACAAAAACAAACTTGCAAAAATCTTTCCACCGGCAATTGCTTTTACCACTGAGTGCCCCCGGTTTGATTCCTTCTGAGCAGGTTGAACTCGATTTCTCTGATGTGTTTGGTCCTCCTCCATGTCTGGCCTCAAATGAAACAAGTAATGGAATGTCTGAGGGTGTGGTGTTTCCAGCAGATATGAGTGAGCTTGTCTATGATGATCCGGAGATTGTACACAGTAGATCACATTCTTTGGTTGGTCCTTCTTCTTATAAAAATCAGATACTGAAACTTGGGAGGCTCACCATTCATGAAGCAGAAGATTCGCTGGAACTGGTAGAGAACGTTATTGAACAGACAATTAAGGAAGACCAGGAGCTATCTGTCAACGACTCAGCAAAAGGTGGGACTGTCTGTCTTGAAGATTTTGAAGTCATGAAAGTTGTTGGCCAGGGTGCATTTGGGAAAGTATTTCAGGTTAAAAAGAAGGGTACATCAGATATTTATGCAATGAAGGTGATGAGAAAGGATAAGATTATGGAGAAGAACCATGCTGAATATATGAAAGCAGAAAGAGATATCTTGACAAAGATAGATCACCCATTTGTTGTCCAGCTTAGGTACTCATTTCAGGTGATTTCCTAGACCTCTCATTCAATAGGTCTCTAATCATTGCCCAACCACACAAGGATAGTACTGTATTACAATATTTACAACTGTTGATTACAATTCAATCTTTCAACTTTGGAGCTCTTTTTGATCATCAAACACATTTTTCATGGTTTCAACTTGCAGACTAAGTATAGGCTTTACCTTGTGCTCGACTTCATTAATGGTGGTCATCTCTTCTTTCAGCTCTATAAGCAAGGCCTTTTCAGGTAGATTTTCCCTTCTTGCTATCTGTTTCTTTGTGAAAGCTGAAACTATGAATTAATTTATTCCTGTGTTGCTTCTCAGAGAGGACCTGGGACGAATTTATGCAGCTGAAATTATATCAGCAGTGTCTCACCTTCATGCAAATGGAATAATGCACAGGGATCTCAAACCGGAAAACATTCTAGTGGATGTGGATGGCCATGTATATTCACCTCTCCCCTCTCTCAGTTTCTGTGTGTGGATGGACTAGCGTCTTCACACATCTGATTTTCTCTTCTTTGCATGTAAAGGTTATCAATTTAATTTCCTCGGTCCCCTAACTTGTTGTAGGCCATGTTGACTGATTTTGGACTTGCCAAGGAATTCAAAGAGGACACAAGATCAAACTCCATGTGTGGAACAGTAGAGTACATGTCACCGGAGATTGTTCTTGGGAAGGGCCATGATAAGGCTGCAGATTGGTGGAGTGTAGGAATTTTGTTGTTTGAGATGCTCACGGGCAAGGTCAGTATCTATATTCATGTATCTGCACATATAGATGGAGAACAAATTCCTTTTGTCATAAGTCTTAGCCATTACCTAATCATTTTCTTATGAGAAAAATCCTGCACCGATAATGTTCGTAGACTTGCTTTAAGAGCCACATGCTATTCCAACAAGGTTTTTCTCTGATTTGACCTATTCCATCAATCTCATTAAACTAATTTCACATATGATGAAATAAAGGGTGTCCTATGGTGATTTCATCTGAACATGTAGCCTCTTTAATTTGGAGGCCAATTTACTAAATAATTTATGATATATCACTTCTATCAACTGTGGGGCATGGAAGGAATCTATCATTAGCAGAAACAATTGGACTCTTTTACAAATATTTAGATCTTTCGGACCTCAGGAAACTCTTCAGTTGTACATATATTTTCCTGGAAAGAGAATGCCGCATCCTTCAAAAAATTCAACTGTACATTCCTTGCTAATGCTTTGTTTTTCTGTATTCGCAGCCTCCTTTCACCGGAAATAGGCAAAAGATTCAGCAGAAGATAGTTAAGGACAAATTCAAGATGCCAGCCTTTTTGTCCAGTGAAGCACATTCCCTTCTTAAAGGGGTAATTTTCCTTATCTCCTCTTATTCTCTCTGCAAGTCTCGTTGAACTGTATCACTTGTACAGTTGCAGTAAAAACCAGATGAGATTATCCTTTTTGTCCTCACACTCACACCCTTGTTTTAAGTAAAGATGGTACTCCCTCTATCCCGTTTTATGACACAATTTTCTTATTTAAAAAAACACGTTTCTATATTTGAAAACAGTTTACTTTTAACTTCTCATTTTTCCCTTAATGAGAAGTTTTTATTGCCACACCAATGCTATGACATGTTTAATACCACTAGTTTCAAAAGTCTTAAACCCACACAAATGTTATTTATAATAGGGGTTTAAAACCACAAGTTTAAAAGTCTTCATTTCTTTCTCAAACCTCACGTTGAGTTAAACTACGCAACTTAAATCAGGATAGTGAGAGTATCTTAACTTTTTTACGGTTCTATAGTAATGTCATGCCTGCCTTAGTAGAGCTATGCTGCTAGATGTGTTCTCAGATAATTTTTTTGTTCTTTACCATTTCTCTAGCTGCTGCAAAAGGACCCAACTAAAAGGCTTGGCAGTGGGCTGAAGGGAAGTGATGAAATCAAGGACCATAAATGGTTCAAGCCAATCAACTGGAAGAAGTTGGAGGCAAGAGAGATGCGGCCAAGTTTCCGTCCTGAAATTGCTGGAACACACTGCATTGCAAATTTTGATAAGTGCTGGACAGATATGTCATTGGTTGATTCTCCAATTTCGAGTCCAAAGGATAATTCGGACCCTTTTCAGGGTTATACTTTCGCGAGGCCTGCTGCTTCCTTTCTCCTGAGAAGCAGTCCCTTGTGCTAGGATGGTTTGATGAGATAGCACTTTATGTTGTTCCATTTTCTTCTCTAGGACGTAGTAGCCAGCTGAGTTCATTCGTTGGGTGAATGAAACCTATCCTTCTGTTCCATTATTTAAGTTGTTCCATTTTCTGTTACTGATTCAGAGACTCCTTATCTTAGACCTTCCATCAGGTGCATGACACTAAGGTTTGGTAAGGTTGTTTGTACTTTAAAATTATAAGATTCGTGGCTGTGTTGCACTTTGAAAAATGATGAAGAAAGATCTTGTTTTTCACTTCCCCTGATAATATGTATTTGGTCTATCGAAAACAACCTCTTATAGAAGTAGGGTTGTGTACACACAATCCTCTTCAGATTCCACTTGTGGGATTACACTGATATGTATGTTGTTGTTCTTAAATGTATTTGGGTTTTGGGGAAGGAAAAGACGAGCGATAGAAAACAAAGAATTACTTCTTTACAAGATGTATATGTTTATTGACCTATCATGGTTTAACAAAGGCAACATGTTTCATAAGGAAGAACGAAATTCTAGCTCTTTTTTGTTTTTGGTTCTCATTTTATTATACAATGACGAAAATAAACAACAAAAGGCAGCTTGTATTAACTTCATAACCATGCTTTACATAGAGATACAACTTTTCTTTATTGGTGTTTTGCATACCTTATGCATAAACTTTGGGTTATCGTTGTTTCTTACATGACAAACTGGATATACGTTCCACAGAAGATACATATATGTAGTATTTTATGGGTCGTGCAAACATTGACATACCTTCAACATGTTAAAGCTCTTCATGTAACTGGAAGTTGTCAAGGGCATGTTTCTTCTTGCAACCCCAGTGGCATTTCCAAGAGCAGAGGGAATTGTAGGTATTTAGCCTCTTAGAATGAAGAGATACGATGTTCGAGGTTGAAAGTGCCTTTGAAAGTACTATTGCATAACCATCATCCATGTAATCTGTTCCTTCTGGAAACACTTGCCACAAAAGACTTCCACCTCCAGCCCCTCCTTTCTTAGTAGAATTCAATAGTATTGTGTAAACTGTACTGATTAGTGAGTCTCTGAAAGTTGAATTGTAGCCAGGGTCTTTTGCAGAAACACCGAACTCTGAGAATACCACTGGCATGTTGAGATAGTTCTCCGCGTCATCAATGTGTGCTTGCATCCATGTCTTGGTGAATCCAATATGAGCATCAGAAATCTCTTGTGAAATCCTGAGGCATATGCAGAATGTTAGTGGTATTGCAGTATGAATGATGCTGTAATATTTCAGTGTGCTTACCAAGAGTCGGGATATATGTGAGCTGAGGCGAAATCAACTCCAAGAACCTGATGGTTTCTAATGAAGTCAGTTCCGACTTGTTGAGCATAGGAGTTTGGGTTGATCTGAGCTTTATTAGGAGTCGAGGGACCATAGAAACCTTCCAGTCCGATCTGCACCAAATGCTTTGGATCTATTGTCTTCACATAAACTGCCATTTCTTCTATCCAAGCCTAAAAATATTAAATAGAACGATATTTAAGTTGCAAGTGCAAACATAGTTATTTGCTTTGACAATAAACTTTTGATGAGTTATAGCTAGTAGTTTAAGTGTGACAAACATGCAGTTTATCCCCAGAAGGATCTGATTCACACCGCGGCTCATTCATCAGTTCCCAACCGAAAATAGTAGGGTCATCCTTGTATGTCATGTTGGTAAAGGTATTAACTCTATTGAGCACAGCCTGCAGAAAACAAATTCATACTTGACAGTTAATACAATGCTGCATTGTGAAGACGACAAAATTTACAAGTCTCTTTTACTTTCTTAAACTCCGTGCCAAGTCAAAACCATATAAACACATTGAAACGGAGGGAGTACTACAGAAGAAAATATTTATAATGTGTTGCTGTGATCACCTTCACATGAGCCTTGTAGTAGCTTTTGAGTGTGGGATGAGAGAAGAAGTCATCATCAGAAGTCAAATTCAGGCCAGCAGCTTTACCCCATTTTACATACTGCGATTTTCCACCGTATGCTTCCCAGTTGTTGACTAGTGACAGTATCAGCCTAATCTTGAATTTCTTGGCTTCACTCACCACAAAATCCAGAGCCTGAATAACAAAGAACATCGATACTTGTTAGATTCTCTGTTTAATCAGAAAATGTTGTTCTAATTTGTCTCTGCAGCCTGATCAGACGAAGCAATGAAGGTAGTCCTTTGAATGTTAGCACATGTATACAACAACAACGATCACTATGCCTCAATCTAAGCAAGTTGGGATCGGATATTTGATTCCCTACTGACCATGTTGCCTCAAGCATTTGAAGGTCAGCATAGGTGTATACAGGGAAATATGAGCTACAAGATAAGCAAGCATACCTTGAAAACGTCTTCGTCATAAACAGCAGGAGTTTTCTGAAGAGCACGCCATTGGCCATCATTAAAAGCCCAAGTTCGGCATACTGATAGACCGACAGCAGATGCCTGCTGGAACACCTCAGTAACTTTTCCCCTTGTGGACTGATCAGCAGCAAACACCATCAACCAGTAAGTGTTGAATCCATTCACATAGAAAGGTTGTCCATTCAACAGAAATTGGTCCCCGCTCTTCTGTACCATCGTCCACGCTGCTCCATCTTCCATCTCTCCCCTGTCACATCAAATCCATCAAAATGCAAAATCAAAATTAGAGAAACAAACAATCCTCTGCAACATAACAAGGGAAAAAAAGAAGAGAAATGCTAACTCATTCCCAGCTTCATCAAACGGAGCAGAATTTGCGTTCTTTATGAACACAACAAGTACAAAACTAGCTGCCAGAAAAATGAACTTAGAACTAAAACTCTGCTTATGGCTGACCATGTTGGCAAGTAAATGGACAAGTTGAGATTATCTTGAACAACATAGTATATATATATAGATGCACAACAGGATGTTTCCGAGGTTGTTCTGTATAAGCAACAAGCTTATGATAATAGACAGAAGTGTTCTTGAGGGAATGGTCAAAGCTACCTTGAAAGCAAAGATCCATTGTCCCTTCAACTAGTGACATCATATTGATCATATTTCCATTCTTTTCTCAAAACATTTAAAATGATTTATCGATATCGATCAAATTAATAACTATGACATTAATAGTAAACCAAAAAATTAAGTTTGTGATGGATGGCTTTCAAATTTGGCTCAAATGTCTTTATCAATAGAAAACTTTGTGAAAAATTATAAACCAAACTCCTCAGCAATCAGCAATGATAACATCTTAACTGTCATATGGGAAGTGGTCCTTGGCTTCAAAGCATTAGAGAGATGGAGCATCATTACTATAAATCTCTAAAAAACAAAAAATAGAAAAATGTGCATACTTATTGAAATTCACTATTCATGTCTCCGTTTCAAAAAGATTGTCATTAATCTATATTTTTAATCACTAAAAAGTGTTATTATGTCCTCCGGGGGACTGGACTAGACCAAGAGGTTCTTTGTTTTGCCCGCTCATTTTACTTCCGTACAGGAGGAAATGAGATTCAAATCCATGATACAATCTTCTTGTATGTTTGATTTAGCAAACTAATGCCTTAAGTTTTCCTTTAATTTCAACCCCCACATTATCATGTTTTAAGACGACAAGATTGAACAAGCATTTTTGGAATACTATAACATCTTTAGTTTAAGATCAACAAATTCATAGCTCTCTTTTATTTTCATATCTCCGTGTACAATCAAACTAAGACACATAAAATAAAACGGGTAAGTATATATGACTAGTTCGAAATGATCACCGTCAAACACAAGATTCAAAACTGATAACTTCTTATACTTTAAGGCATCTTGTTTCCTTTATCTGCACTCCTTTCATTTGCTACTTACAGTAAGAAGTGTTATTAAAGTGAAAAAGTAAGAATATCTTAAAAAAAAGGACCAAAGTGGAAATCTAACAGAAAGCCCTCATTATCTCATAGGAGTTGAAATCACCAAACACAAACAAAGAACAACTTGTATTTTCTTTATGATACTAGAAACTTAGGAATGCCCATTGTTCCTAATAAGTGATCCAAGGATGCAAACGATTCAGAATTTGGAGTTTATGAGTTTCTATAACGATCTTAAATTACATATAGAATAGTGTTGGTATCGAAATAACATAAAGTCATATGGAAGCTAACAATTATAAACTTTGAACAACGAAAAATCAGACACAAAGAGAAGTATACTAGGTCAATTGACCTACATATAAAGAAAGACTAATTTAATGACTATATTGTGGATGCTATTGTGTCGTCTATGAAAATCTTTTTCGCCAAAAAAAGATAATTGTAATTCACCCTGACTATATTTAGTGAATTTAGTTCTATATATATACATGATCTAACTATTACTAGAACATAAAGAAAAAGTTGGTACAAAAAGAAGAGTTCAAAACTATTGTAAACTCTAACAAGTTAAGGATAACTCCAACCTAAGTAAACATCAAAAAGTAAGATTAAGTAACATGAAAATGACTAATAATTTTTATTATTTAGGCAATATAAATGACTAATAAATCATAAAAAGAAAACAAATGAATATGTACCTCAAAATTTTACAAAAAATGACGTGTAGTAATTTCTTGCAGAGAAGCAAAAGCCCATCACACCACCAACAATTTGTTGTTACAAGTTTTGAAGGTCCATTCCTATCCCCACTCATACTTCTAATAATTTTCTTAAAAATAGTAAAAATCTCAAAATATTTTTAGAGTATGAACAAACAATTGAATAGCAAGAAATGGAAAAACTTTCACTATTTATATTTCTTTTTCTAGTATAAGTACTAGAAACAAAGTGTACCGACATACTTATACTTTTCTTATTAAAATTCTGTTTTTCCTCTTCTTCTTCTTTTAATAGAAAAAACAACTCACTCTTATTTTGTCTTTTTCTTGGAGTAGAGGAAGGAGAAATGGATGAATCCTCACAAATAACGTGAAAGTTCAAATGCTCAATTTATTGAGCTCTTAAATTTTTTATTTTCGTGAAAGTAACCATACATTTGTTTTGCACGAATCTTATTGAATTATGCCATAATTCGCTTCTTCACATTAATTTATTTATCTAATTTTATTTTGATACAAAAATAATTTTTTTTAAAATTTTTAAATAAAAGATACATTAAATATATTAAAACGTCATTTAATCTTTTAATCTTAAATATATTATGTAAAAAATTAAAAATTATTGAAAAGAAATGAGACATTTAAAAAAAAAAAAACTAAAGAAATAGAACAAAACAATATCTATTTGATTATTTTCAA